TGTCAGGCATGGCTTCGAGAAGGCCGTACGTAAAGAGCAAGGGGCACTGGACGCCGCCGTAGAACAACAGACCGTGAAGATCGCCGCCTACGATTATTGGCCTTAAGGGACCGTTTCTCCACTACCAGGTCCATTGCAAATGAATGGTTTGCAGAACACGGAAGACCTATTGGCATGCGAAGTGTTTACCGACGAATGAGAAGTTTTGGCTTGTTTTCATACCGGCCACACTGGGTCCTCCCTTTAACTCGAGAACACCGACGTAATCGCCTTGAGTGGTGCAGACAACGGTCACTCTGGGATCAGGAGTGGAACAGTATTGTCTTTAGTGACGAGTCTCGATTTTGTTTAGGCATGCACGATGGTCGTGCCAGGGTTAGAAGGCGACATGGTGAAAGCAGGAATCCACAGTTTTTTGTTGAAAGACATGTTCATCACACTGTTGGAGTTATGGTTTGGGGTGCTATAGCTTATGGTTCCAGGTCACCTTTAATCTTCATCAGAGGTAACATGGACGCGCAGCGTTATATCCACGAAGTTCTAGAACCCCATCTTTTACCCTATCTTGACACCCTGGCAGATCCAACTTTCCAACAAGATAATGCCCGACCACATGTTGCAAGAGTCACAATAGACTTCTTTCAACATAATGATGTCACATTGTTACCATGGCCACCAAGATCTCCCGACTTATCCCCAATTGAGCACGTGTGGGATATGATGGGTAGGAGATTGCTCAATTTGCAACGTCCTCCTCACACTCTAGAAGCACTTCGAGAGGAGTTGGTGGTTGCCTGGAATGAGATACCACAGGAGGACATTGACCACCTGATCAGAAGCATGCCTAGGCGCGTTGGAGAATGCGTAGCACGTCAGGGTGCATCCACACATTATTAAAGGTCAAAGGGCTTTAAAGCAGTGCAATCATTTTGAAATTTTTATCATTTACTTATTATGCTTCATTAAGTACTTATACAAAATTTCATTAAAATAAAACCATTTAAACTGGATGTTCGGATTTATATGTCACTTAGTATATGTCCTAAGCCTGTTTTGAGCTACAGGTTGTTGAAATTTTAAGAAAAAATTCGTTTTCTTATCATAACTTTAATATACTGTTCTGTATATTTACATGAAATTTGACATGCATCTACTAAGCACCAATAGGCATTTTATGATGTGGAATATTTCTTAATATGTCTACCAGTGCCGTCCGACGAGATGCACCTGTATAAATAATTTTCGCCAATTCATGAGAAAGAGAATTAAAGCCTATATTCTATCAGAAGGAGGACATATTCAACAATTCTTGTGATAATTAAATTAAATATATACTAAGTGACATATAAATCCGAACACCCAGTTTAAATGGTTTTATTTTAATAAAATTTTGTATAGGTACTTAATGAAGCATAATAAGTAAATGATAAAAATTTCAAAATGATTGCACTGCTTTAAAGCCCTTTGACCTTTAATAATGTGTGGATGCACCCTGATGTTCTACGCATTCTCTAACGCGCCTAGGCATGCTTCTGATCAGGTGGTCAATGTCCTCCTGTGGTATCTCACTCCAGGCAACCACCAACTCCTCTCGAAGTGCTTCTAGAGTCTGAGGAGGACGTTGCAAATTGAGCAATCTCCTACCCATCATATCCCACACGTGCTCAATTGGGGATAAGTCGGGAGATCTTGCTGGCCATGGTAACAATGTGACATCATTATGTTGAAAGAAGTCTATTGTGACTCTTGCAACATGTGGTCGGGTATTATCTTGTTGGAAAGTTGGATCTGCCAGGGTGTCAAGATAGGGTAAAAGATGGGGTTCTAGAACTTCGTGGATATAACGCTGCGCGTTCAGGTTACCTCTGATGAAGATTAAAGGTGACCTGGAACCATAAGCTATAGCACCCCAAACCATAACTCCAACAGTGTGATGAACATGTCTTTCAACAAAAAACTGTGGATTCCTCCTTTCACCACGTCGCCTTCTAACCCTGGCACGACCATCGTGCATGCCTAAACAAAATCGAGACTCGTCACTAAAGACAATACTGTTCCATTCCTGATCCCAGAGTGACCGTTGTCTGCACCACTCAAGGTGATTACGTCGGTGTTCTCGAGTTAACTGGAGAACCCAGTGTGGCAGGTATGAAAACAAGCCAAAACTTCTCATTCGTCGGTAAACGCTTCGCATGCCAATAGGTCTTCCGTGTTCTGCAAACCATTCATTTGCAATGGACCTGGTAGTGGAGAAACGGTCCCTTAAGGCCAATAGTCTTAGGCGGCGATGTTCACGGTCTGTTGTTCTACGGCGGCGTCCAGTGCCCCTTGGTCTTTGCGTACGGCCTTCTCGAAGCCATGCCTGACAACACCTAACCACAGTGTCTACACTTCTTTGCACTCTAACTGCAATTGCCCGAAAAGAAAGTCCATCTTCCCGAAGTCCCACTATACGGCCCCTATCAAACTCACTAAGTTGACGAAATCGTACAGGTCTCCGTTCTCTAGGCATCGTAACCGATCGTAAAGGATGTCAAGAACCAAAATCCGCCAACGTTGATTCTTTACTGCGGCTGAAATATTCATTTTTAGAGCGTTAGTGAATTAAAAAAAAGCAGTATAAAGACCGGAATGTCCAACTGATAAGGCTGAAAATTTTTTCACTTGTTATTTACAGTAAGATAAATACATTCACCAACTTTTATTAAAATAAAACCATTTAAACTGGGTGTTCGGATTTATATGTCACTTAGTATAGTATTAGGTTATTTGATCCACAGAAATTGTCAAAACTTGTTGCACACCTGTTTTTTTATTTTCATGCATTGCAAAATCTCATTTGGTAGTATGTAGGTAAGATATGCTATTGTTTAATTTTTATTCAACAAAGGTCAATTGATATAAATAGCCAAAACGGTTATTATTTTTTTCCGCGAAAACGGTGCATCAGACGGAAAAAAGGCATGAGATCAAATTTATTGCGAAATAAACGAGAATTTCAAAAATGATACAGGAATAATATTATAATAAGAGAATACGTTAGTCATCCTTATTCAACCAGAAACAATGCTAATAGAAATCTAATAATACCCAATAGTATCACAAACATAAACTTAAGATCAATTGACTATATTGGTCCGAAAATCCACAACATTTTGCCTGGGACACTAAGGATGATAAATAAATTAAAATTGTTCAGTTCAGTGTGTAGATCATTTGTTGTGGCAAACCTTGATAGGTTCATAGCTCTTTGCTAACTAAATATGCAAATGCTTTGATCATTTTCTTTTATGTTTTTTTAGGAATTTAAATCCTGAGTTGGTTGATTTTTGTCCTTGTTTAAGTGGCTACAAAGTAATTAGCATGATATTATAATTATATATATATATATATATATATTTTACTATTTTATTATTAAAATTTTACATTACACATTACTTAAGATTGGTGCATACGGATATTAAGATTATAGGTACCACGTAAGAAAAGCTATACATGTGTTATTTTAGTGTAATATATAAAACCACTGTATATATTGCCATCACTTTGTAATATATTGTATTGTATATTAGTTCAAAGATTTTCTAAATTCCATTTTGTCTCGACCATATAAGGCCAGAAAAACTTTTCAGGCTATAATATTTCGTTTCTGTATTCTGTATACGAGGTCAATCTGCCACGATCTTTTTGTGCAAATGTACCTGCCCTCAAAACTTTTTGAAGGGCGCACTATAGCAAATTTTCTACGGGGTAAATTCTATAAATCCCCAAAATTATGCTGAATATGTGAATTTTAACGTCCAAGACTCCCCTGGCACCCTCTTGTAGACGCACATGCAGGCACCATTGAGGCCTTTGTACAACATCCTCTGCAGGAGTCACTTACATCGCTTACGACCCCAAACTACTAAAAAGATGGTGACCGAGAAATTTGCTGGCCATAGAACGCCAGCGTTCCCCCAGAATGAGGAACTTCACTCATAACCTGCTCGTTCAACTGACTTCTAGGATCACTCCAGAGAAATGAATATAGGTTTGAGAAATCGGATATACAGGGTGTCCCAATATGCCGTAGACATAGATATACCACGTATTTTTATACTCAAAATAAATCAAATGGACTTGAAAAAGTGATTCGTATGTCTGTTAGTGGGCTTCAAATAATGAGTCAGGTGTCCGGTTTAGTACTCTATAATGACAGAACTTGAGCCCTACATTCTAATTATTGGAGGTCATTATTATGAAAATTTTTTTTTGAATAAGAAACGTAAATTTTGCTAACAAAAAGTGTCAATTTCGATAACGTTGTTCAATCTGTATCAAAACGAAGCAGATAGTCCCCATAACCACACCATGAATTGCCCCATGTTTGGAAAGCACCCTGTATACCACCAGTAGGTCCATGTATTCAAACATCAGGTAGAGGCCCACGCCATCGAAGGCCATTTTGCACTCATATTCGTCTCTTTTTAATACGAAAAATGATGAATACCCACAATACAGCTATAAAAAATAATCCCATTAGTGAAGCAGACATATAAATTATTATCTAATACCATAACCCTCGCCATAAACTGTTGCTCAATCTGACCTTATCAGATCGCGAACATAAGGCAAAAAATGCTAATATCTGAGTCATCCTTAGGCCGTTTGCACACACACCGACAAAATCGGTGCCGGTAACGATGCCGACATCGAATGCAATGTAATAAAATGAATATTTTCACACGTAGCCCGGGCCGGTTTATTTGACGGTCCGGTCACCGATTCCGATTCATGCAGTCGGTGGTGAACTCGACAATCGGACCACGCACCGGCTTCCGATTTGCCGATTCCACTGTTCTACAATCTATACTTGTCCACACAGGCTCACGCGTTCCGGTGCCGGGGATATTTATGCATCTAAGTTCTTAGTATATCGCTAACCTCGTAGGAAGTGCATACATAGGGTCGTTTGCTGTTGGATATTCATTGTACCTTTCAACTTTTTTGTACTGACAATGAGTAGAATTTTCAAGTATGATGTTGTGACTTTAATCGAAGCAATAGAAAATAAACCTTGTTTGTGGGATAAAACTGCAGATTGCTTCAAGGATAAGATTGAAAAAGAAAAAGCGTGGAAGGACGTGTGTGCGTTTTTTGAAGAAGATTTCCTAGAAAAGGACAAAAAGGAACAACACAAAATAGGTAAGTCAATATACATATATATTGAGCAATAGCAATACACAATTAATATAGTTATTATATTTTGTCCATTTGCCACGGCAACATCCCTTCAGTAGTTACAAAATAATCTGCGAGACAATCTCTCAAATAATTTGCATTTTTTGTTGGCCTAGTACAAGGAGCTATTTGCACATTTGGTAGCTTTTGCCGGCTTACATACATTTCTAAATTGTCGGCATCCCTTATTCGCACCACATTATGTAAAACTACACATGCTTTAACAATGTCTTTAGATAATTGTTTTGATACGTTTAATGCTCTGTGTAGAATTCTCCACTTATTGGAAAGTATACCGAAAGCACATTCAACGTACCTTCTTGCCCGAGTTAATCGGTAATTGAATATTCTTTTTTTCTCAGTAAGATTATGTCCAGCGTAAGGTCGCATTAGGTTTTCTGATAGCCCAAATGCTTCGTCCCCTACAAACACATAAGGAAAAGTATCTTTTCCAGTTGCTTCTAATGGACAGGGTGGTGGGATATGTAACTTGTTTTCCATCATTAATTTAAAAAATACTGTTTGTTGAAATACAGATGAGTCGCAGTCTTTACCATAAGCTCCTATATCTACATATATGAATTTATAATCAGAATCAACCACGGCCATAAGAATAATGGAAAAATAACCCTTGTAGTTAAGGTGCATTGAACCACTATGGGGAAATCTGTTAACTCGTATGTGTTTTCCGTCGATAGCGCCTAAGCAATTGGGGAACTGTGCGGATTTTTTGAAGTTATCTACTATACGTTGCCATGTTTCCTCCGTAGGCTGCGGGAGAAATTCGTCTTTTAATAAGTTCCATAAAGAGTTGCATACCAAACGAACAGTTTTACTTATTGTGCTTATTCCGATTCTATAGTAGTAGTGCATATCAGTAAATGTTGCTCCAGAAGCAAGGTACCTGAAATTTAAAAAGCACTTTTATCAATATATCGCGAACTAAAAAATAAATCTAAAAATTTTAGTTTTGCATAATTTTATTGTACGCTTCTATGATTTTTAATTTTACTTATAGGTGAAGCAATTCGTGGGAAATGGCAAAATATCCGTGACTCTTTTGTGAAGTCATTGAAGAAAAAATCTGGACAAGCCACTACAAAAAAATATATGTACCATGATAACCTAACATTCTTGCTGAAAGTGGTACAATCAGACGACACGCAGTCAAGTATTGATGACACCCAGGATAACGAGCATTCTCTGTTGAAAGAAACCCAAAACGAAGCCGAGAGGGAGTCTGAAGTACAAGTGCAACTCCAAAAAAATATCAACCCTATGCCTGCAGGAAACAGGAACACATCAAAAAAACCTCGCTTGCAAGAAGATGTAGATAAGAGAATTTTAACAGCCCTAGAAAAGCCACCTGACGAGGATGAGGCATTCTTTCTGTCAATTACTCCATCAGTACGAAAAATGTCAGAAGATGATAAGCTGGAATTCCGCATGAATGTACTTCAATTAATAAAAAATATTAACATGCGTAACAAAATGCAATCGCCAGCATTTGCCAGTCACACATCTACATCAACCTCTCGATCATCAACGCCATTTTCACACAATACATTTCCACTTTCCAATAATTCCAGTAATAGTCAACATGCTCATGATTTTCAACAGAGTCAACAGCAGTGTTTACCTGGTAATCTAGCCCAGCCTACCTATAATAATCCCAGTTCAACTTTATCTGAACCCACTATAACCTTTTTTCAAGACCTCTAACCTATAAACTTGTTAACAAATAAACATTAAAAACAATAAGATGTGTATTTATTTATATTTACTCACCTTATTGTTACTGCGACCATTTCCTTTGGAGGGATACATGCTCTCATTGGAGTATTTTGATGTTTGATACTGTTTAATAATCGTTCCACTATGAAATCGAAAGTATCAATACTCATTCTGAAGTAATTGAAGAATTTCGAGTTGTCTTTCCTAAGTTTCTCAAAAAGCGTGTAGAAGCTACCTTCTAAGTATCTGACAGTCAGCAGAGGATGCACCCAATGTTGTCTTACTTTTTTAGCTTGTCGATACTTCCTCCTGAGATACAATAACCCAAGGAGATAACGTTTATTAGAAGCAGAAACATACATCTTTCTTTTACCACTGCCAAACACCGAATAAAATTGACGGCACGGAAACGCCGGTATGTGTGAAATTAAATGTTTTCCGGCACAGGAAACGGTACCGGCACCGGCACCGATTTTGTCGGTGTGTGTGCAAACGGCCTTACACCGAAGATGTTCAACCCATCAACTCCGACCCGTAGGTGGTTTCTACAGGGTGCATCGAAGAATAGTAGCTCAAAAATAACAAAAAAAAGTCCGTATAAACATGTTCTAAAACGCCCATTACCACAATACAGTGTGGTGTGAATTTATACCCTAGTAATGAGACAAATCATGAATATCGTTGTGTGAGATATGATTACTCTCCTAATCAGGTTTAGCGCGTTGAGTGAAAGTTTATTACCAGGGGCCGTTGGAAAAAAGATAAAATTATTTTCCAAAATTAGATCAGGTAGATATACCATGAAATAATTTTGTAAAACTACACCAAATCATTTTACTCCTTAGCAAGAAGGTGCAAATACAGAGATACGTAGAGAATTTTCAGACATAAATTCATCCATTGACTTTTAGTGTCTGATTTGTCGACCATTTTGGAATATACAGGGTATCCCAGAAGTCGCCGTCAATACGGAAATGAAGCATATGCCAAGTCATAATAGTTATCAGACAAATATGAAAAATCCAAGTCGTGTACTTTTCAAATGATAGGCTTTGAAATATCGAAAAAAACTTCACCCTGTGATGATCTTTTTGTTCCCATTACTAGAAATTTCAATTTTTTCTTAGACGGAGTGACAGACAGTGTCATTCTACATAGTGACAGCAAGAGAGATGGTAACGTCATTTTTATTAATTCATGATTGCGTATTGCCACCATGTATGTGTACACCGTACAGTCAAGTCAAGTCATCGTTGGTTGTCAGAGCGGTCCGTGGGACCTTAGCTCTTGAGTCACAGTGTCAGTTTGTAAGTCTGTCAGGTCTGGTAACCCAGAAACCAGACAATTTTAAGGAAAAAAGGGGAAGGAAAGGAGAGAAGGAAGAACGCGAGCAAAGGGGAAGAAGAGAATCTTTTAGGATATGCAGCGTTTAGGCATTGTCAAAATCGCTTCACAGATTTTGATATGGTCTAAAAATATTTGATCTTTTCTAAAGATTGTGTAAAAATGCTCCAATTTTGGTTGTTCTAAGTTCACGAGTTAATTTTGATTACAGTGCGAGCCGCGGCCTTTTGTGCTTGCGAACTTGCTCGACTGTGTAGTCCACTGAATCACGCAACAGAGGGTTGCTGTGCGATTCCGCTAGGCTATAGCGCCGCTGCGCCTGTTGCTTAATGTAGTCCTTTAGGTAAGGGACATCGAGGTCTCTATGTAGAGTTTCGTTAGAGACATACCATGGGGCATCAGCAATAGTGCGCAACGTCCTGCTTTGCAGAACCTGCAGACTTCGCATGTGTGTTTTAGGAATAAAACACCAAGCCGCACATGCGTATGTCATTGCTGGTCTTATGACCACCTTATAGAGTCGAATCTTGTTAATAAAACTTAATTTTGACCGTTTACATAATAATGGGTAAAGCTGCCGAAACGTAATTTGGAATTTAGTTTTTAGCGCTTCCATATGGTTCCGCCAAATCATCCCTTTGTCCAGAATGACACCGAGATACTTAGCGGAGGATTCCCATGGTATACGAAGTCCATTCATTGAAACTTCAGACGGAACGCCGCGACGTCTTTTTGTACAGTAGATTGCCTGCGTTTTCGAATGGTTTATTTTAATTAGCCACCGATCCGCCCAATCTAATACTTCTTCCACCGCACTTTGCAGCCTGTCATGGACTAGGTCACCAGACCACGACTGAGCCACCAATGCAGTATCGTCAGCATAGAGATAGACTTCACAGTTGCTGGGACTAGGGACGTCATGGATGTACAGTGAGTAAAGGATAGGTCCAAGGACCGAACCCTGAGGGACGCCGGCTGTAATCAGCCGTGTTGTCGACAGCACATTGTCAATTTTGATCCGAAATTTCCTACCTTCAAGGAAGGATTTCAGTAGTTTTAGAAGCCAAAAAGGGAAGCCCTTTTGGATTAGTTTATACAAGAGGCCCGCGTGCCACACCTTGTCAAATGCTTTTGAGACATCCAAAAGCAAGATGCCAGTACTTTCGTTAAGGGTGAATCCTCTGGCTACACGTTTCACCAGCCTAACCGCCTGTAGCTCCGTACTATGTTCAGACCGAAAACCGAATTGCACGTCAGGAATCACATGGTGATCTGACGAGAAATTCTCAAGGTGACGTAGAATCACCTTTTCAGCGAGCTTAGACGCAGCTGACAGCAGGCTAATGGGACGATAATCCTGGGGAAATATCGAACCCACCTTCTTTGGAATCATTATAACTTCAGCGGTCTTCCACGCGGATGGGAAGTACTGGATCCTGAGCATGGCAATGACTATTGCCACGAGATAAGTTAAGGACTTCCGCGAAAGCAGCTTCAGCGCCTTATTAGTGATTTGATCCTCCCCAGGTGCTTTACGCACTTTAAGGTCTTTAATATGACCTTGAATCTCTGCTGGTGTGCAATGCGGGATCTCAGGAGATACCGCTGATGTGCTGAGCAAATCTTCGGTTGAAGAAGCTTCTGAAGAAGAATCTTCTGATGAAGAAAAATCACCAACGAATGCGCGACTGTCACTGACGCCGTTGGCCCTAAAATATCTCCTGACAGATCTTACGATGTGTTGCTCCTCGTCGAGGTCATTATCAAGATCATAGTTGGGAGAGATCTGTCTTTCCATGGCATCGGCGAAAACCTCAACCTTCTCCTCTGTCCTGAAGACAATGCCTCCAGGACCGTGAATGTGTGGGATTTGTTCACGCTTTCCGTTTTTGAGCGACTTCGCCACCTTCCAGAGAGGAATGCTTGAGTCAAGCATCCCCGCCAGAAAGTCGTTCCATTGCTCATTGCGGAATTCATGAAGAGCATTTCTTACTTCATGAACAAGATTCGTCGCTCTGCGAATGTCATCAGGATGACAAGACCTTTTCGCTTGCTTAATTGCAGCTCTTTTATCAGAAATTTTCTGACGAATGTCTGCTGGCAGAAAAGGTCTGCCGTGTCGCTGCACGGGAAGTACAGCTGCACGCTGCAGAGTTTGCTGAACAAAACTTGTCCACTCTGCTTGAGCCGCATCTATACCGTTCTCATCATCTATGATCGGTATATTGGGGAACTCTTTGAGGAGCGACTTGTATAGCTCCCAATCAATGCGTTTCCTTGGAGGGATTTCATCCCCCAAGATCTGCTCATTAGCCACTTCCAAAACGACGGGAAGATGATCGCTTGAGATGTCATACATGATTCGAGAAGTGATGCTGTAGCTACAGTTTTTGGATAATGCCAAATCAAGAACATCAGGTGCCTGAAGGTGATTAAATGGGTGGTGCGTCGGCTCCTCAGTACTATGTATGAGGTAGCCATTTCGTATCACATGGTTGTACAGTCGGATCCCACTGGTGGAATTCAACCTGGAATGCCATGCTCGATGTTTGCAGTTGAAGTCCCCTGCCACAATAAGTGGACCCGAGTAGTCTAAAAGGACTTCCAGATCCGCCTCTTGCAGCCTGTTACCACACCTGACATACACCGATGTGATTTTTAACGGCACACCTCCCGTCATATTGACCACCACGGAAGCCGCTTCGATGCTCTGCATGTCAGCGTTTGTGCTTCTGTGGTAGTCAATACCGGGTTTCACTAGCACTGCCAAGCCGCCACCCCGTCCAGTCAATCTATCAGCCCGGATAACATCGTAATTCGGGAAAGCTAGACGATCTCCCGGATTAAGTAATGTTTCCTGCAGCAAGGCCACATCTATACTTTCGTCCACTTGAGCTTGATGAAATTCCCGTCTTTTGGGAATGTCCCTTAGACCCAAACAATTAAAAAAAAGAATTTTGATAAATGTAGGCTGTCGTCGATTGTACCTAGCCATTTGCAGGAAAGATCGCCTGCAAAGGCTGTGTTGCGCTAATCAGAGGACCTATGATCTGCTGTAAGGACCTTAGCGCGGTTGCCAGGTCCACATTTTGCGTGTTCGCAGAAGATCCCACAGAGGGGGCAGCCCGGGTTGCATCCCTAGCTGCATCCGCGTAACTTACATTGCGCCTTTGCGCTATCACTTGCAGATTTTTCTTAGGGGCAAATCTGCAAGTTCGGCTATTCGCTGGATGCCCCCCTCCACAGTTCGCGCACTTTCGTTCCTCTTGTTCTGTTTGAGGGCATAAGTGGGTCATGTGGTCAGAGGCACATTTTAGACATTTAGGTGGTGCAGTGCAGTAAGATTGCGCATGCCCATATTTTTGGCAGCGGTGACACTGCCCGATGAGTCTTGAGTTCTTTTGAACTTCGACTCGGATAGCCAAACCTAGCAGCTCGTGTTCGTTGAACAGCTGCTGAGATTTTTCTATCTTGGGCAGTATGACTACCACCGCCGCCGCCACCGCGTTTCAGGCGTATTATGAGCAGGGGGGAATATCCCCTCTGTTGCAACTCTTCCTTGATCTCAATTTCCGAAAGTGTCGCATGTACTCCTCTGATTACAGCATGAACGTTCCTCTCGGAGGGTAGAGGGAAAGTGTGATGGGCCACGTCTTCCTCCCTGAAGAGACGAATAATCCTGCGGTAATCATCCTCGGACTTGGGAATTATCCTGATTCCTGCATCGACGGCAACCGCGCGTTCGAATTTGATGCCCAAGGAAATAAACTTGTGATTTACGCCTCGCCATCTGGAAGCATCACGAAGAACGATGGGGGTAACACGTACCTTGCGTGGGGGCTGTGCAGTCGTGTCTTCTGGTACCTGAGATGTCGAAGGCGTGGAAGTAACCGATAGATTAGGCACAGGCTGTTTATTCGAGTCGCTTGCAGTTGAATGAGATGTTTCAGACTGCGATTTTGGTGAAGGGAGAGGAGGAAAGCCTGTTGTGTCGGTCTTGTTTCGTCGCGTTTTACGGGGCTTAACCTTGGTAAAACCGTCAGGGAGTGTATCGTCGTCTGTGGAAAGATCGCTTGAATTATTTAACGGTCTCTTAAGATTGACAGCTTTGTCTTTACTGGGATTTTTTGGAAGTGTTTGGGAAGAATTTGTAATATTTAGATGGGAAGGTACCTGGGTTTTCAGTAGGAGGTCTAATTTAACTGTTAGGTCGGTAATTGTCCGCTGCTGGGCTTCGATGATCATCATCAATCTTTCATTGGTCTTCTTATCATCGTCCTTTTTAGCAGCTCCTGTCGAACCATCTCCAATTCGGCTCTCAGCTCCTCTATGGTCTGCTCCTTCGACTCCATCTCCATTGCCATGGTGGAAGCGCTATTTCCTGACCCCCCTGGGTCAGTTTCCATATTAAATACCTCGGTTATCTCGCTTTTCGTCTAAAAAATTTTCCGGATCGAAATTACGGGACAGCTGCTATCAGTGCCCTATACAGGGCGATTTTTTTTACACCGTACAGGAATACCCCAACATGTACGTCATTTATGGTATGGGAATGTCCAATAGGGACGCAGGAAAGTAAACGTCAATTTGACATAGACGCCATCTTTGTTTTCTGTCACCGACGTGTCATTTTGTTAGTTGAATGTTTACCATTGATCGCTATGGAGTCGTATTCGATTGAAGACCGCATTAAAGTTATTCAAGAGCACTACAAAAATGGTGCAAAAATAAAAAACACTTTTCGCGCGCTTCGTGAACATTTCGGTCGCAACAACCGCCCAAACGAAACAACCATCGGTCGTCTGGTGCGTAAATTCGAGGCAACAGGTTCTGTGGCAAATCTGCCAGGCTCTGGCCGGCCAAGGAGCGTTCGCACACCGGAAAATATTGCTGTTGTGAAGGAGAATGTGAGAGACGATCCAAAACAATCAACAACGCGTCGATCCCAAGAATTGGGCATTTCGAGAACCAGTTTGCTCCGCATTCTCCACAAGGATTTGAATGTACACGCCTACAAGATCCAATTGACGCAAGAGCTGCGTCGGGCCGACCATTTTTCGCGCCGAACGTTCTCGGATTGGCTCCTTGAACACCGCCAAATTGATGCCAATATTTCATCAAAAATCATGTTCAGCGACGAAGCGCATTTCACTTTGAATGGGACGGTAAACAAGCAAAACTGCCGCATCTGGGCGACCGAAAATCCCCGTGAGTATCAAGAGCAGCCGATGCATCCTCAAAAAGTGACTGTGTGGTGTGCATTGTGGTCAAAAGGCATCATCGGACCTTTCGAAAATGCGGCCGGGCGATATCACGTGATGATAGAGAACTATTTTTTGCCGCAACTTGAAGGAATGGATATGGACGATGTTTATTTCCAACAAGACGGTGCAACATGCCACACAACCAACGTCAATATCCATCGATTGCAGTCCTTCTTCGGTGATCGCGTGATTTCGCGCAGAGAAAATGTGCCATGGCCACCAAGATCGTACGATTTGACTCCCTTGGAATTCTTTTTATGGGGATATTTGAAAAGCAAAGTCTACGTCAACAAACCAGCCACCCTCCAAGAACTCAAAAACAACATCATTGCCGAGATAAATGCCATAGAACCGACCATGTTGCAAAATGTCATTGAAAATTTCGACCATCGCGTGGACGTCTGTAAATCCAGTCGTGGTGCACATTAGAGCGATATTATTTTTCATACATAAATGGTATAAATGAACCTTCAAAATAAAGTACCCAACTTGATTTGAATATCAATCTTTCTTGTTTTAATATGCGTTTACTTTCCTGCGTCCGTTTTGGACAACCCCATAGATGCAATGCTTGTGCTGCAGCTAGGGTTTATCGTACCCAAATGCTGCTCGCCGAGTGTTCGTGAATGTGCACGTTTTACTCTCATAGGAACGATTCCCAAATCAAGCACATGGTGCTTTCCTTACGAGGACGTCGTACTACAAGCAATCGAAGAAGACCCGAGTACTTCCGTACGTCAAACAGAAGCAACCACCTGAGTGCCCAAAAGTACAGCCCACTTAATTTTAGAGACTGACGAGACGACATTTAAAAAAGATGGTTACATGAATCGGCACATCTTACACGATGGCATGTAGAAAATGCACATTTGATCAGATATAAGATAGATCACAGTATCATTTTAAACATGTTGACCGAGATTCTGAATGAAAGAATCATTTCACCCTTTGAGCTGTACTTTCAAAATCACCATGACCTTGATTTAACCTTGTAGAGGTCATAATCAAAGACAGTGAAACACGGCCCTTGAAAAGCTACCCGTTTTTTTCTTGTTGTTGAAGATTTATTTAGCATTAATGCTACAATGTCAATTTTGTATAATGATTCGGTTACATATTTTTCTTCAATCCATTTTCTGTAATTTTACATTCTTGTCTATTAAAATTACGTCACTATGTATTTTGATTATTCATAAAGTGATTTTTTAATTTCACATTAAACATTTTCGAACTCTGTTTAATGTCATTATTCAATTTATCAAATTCAAATACTCCCTTTTGAAAAATAGATTTACTAGTTATGCTAGGAGGTACTATAACAATTTTGCAGATGAAAATCTATATTGCCTCTAGTTTCGTAGTTATGATAGTGACTATTTAATTTTGTGAAGTTTTCTAAATGTGGTGGTAATAAATGATTTTTTAATTTGAATATGAAAACGAGAACTAAATAATATATGAAATTTTTCACATCCAACCACTGCAGTTCTTTTAACATAGATTCTAGCATGTTTGTTTTTATTTGAAATGATTCTCATAGCTTTATTTAGTAGAATTTGTAATTTTGAAAATATGTTTTCATTTGCTGTAAACAAGATGGTTGAACAATATAAAAAATGGGAAGAATTATAGTGTTATACACAATTTTTTTGGAACTCATACTAAGATTATGGAAACTCTACAGGAGTAATATACCTTTTTCGATATTCTTGGAATAATGTATTCATAATGTTCGTGAAACTCTAGCATACTATCCAAGATATTTAAACGACTCGAATACTTTAATTTTTTATCATTAATCATGAGCCTAATTGTATTGTCACTTAAATGTTTCCCTATTGACATACTTTTTATTTTATTAGTGTTTAAGTTTATTGACTTTTAACCAATTCATAATTTTTTCAATATCACTATTTAACAGTTCTAAAGCAGTATCCAAATTCTTATGTGATATGTATATATATATATATATATATATATATTAAGTGACATATAAATCCGAACACCCAGTTTAAATGGTTTTATTTTCATAAAATTTTGTATACGTACTTAATGAAGCATAATACGTAAATGATAAAAATTTCAAAATGATTGCACTGCTTTAAAGCCCCTTGACCTTTAATAATGTGTGGATGCACCCTGATGTGCTACGCATTCTCCAACGCGCCTAGGCATGCTTCTGATCAGGTGGTCAATGTCCTCCTGTGGTATCTCATTCCAGGCAACCACCAACTCCTCTCGAAGTGCTTCTAGAGTCTGAGGAGGACGTTGCAAATTGAGCAATCTCCTACCCATCATATCCCACACGTGCTCAATTGGGGATAAGTCGGGAGATCTTGGTGGCCATAGTAACAATGTGACATAATTATGTTGAAAGAAGTCTATTGTGACTCTTGCAACATGTGGTCGGGCATTATCTTGTTGGAAAGTTGGATCTGCCAGGGTGTCAAGATAGGGTAAAAGATGGGGTTCTAGAACTTCGTGGATACATATAACGCTGCGCGTTCATGTTACCTCTGATGAAGATTAAAGGTGACCTGGAACCATAAGCTATAGCACCCCAAACCATAACTCCAACAGTGTGATGAACATGTCTTTCAACAAAAAACTGTGGATTCCTCCTTTCACCACGTCGCCTTCTAACCCTGGCTCGACCATCGTGCATGCCTAAACAAAATCGAGACTCGTCACTAAGACAATACTGTTCCATTCCTGATCCCAGAGTGACCGTTGTCTGCACCACTCAAGGCGATTACGTCGGAGTTCTCGAGTTAAAGGGAGCACCCGGTGGCCGGTATGAAAACAAGCCAAAACTTCTCATTCGTCGGTAAACACTTCGCATGCCAATAGGTCTTCCGTGTTCTGCAAACCATTCATTTGCAATAGACCTGGTAGTGGAGAAACGGTCCCTTAAGGCCAATAATCTTAGGCGGAGATCTTCACGGTCTGTTGTTCTACGGCGGCGTCCAGTGCCCCTTGCCCTTTGCGTACGGCCTTCTCGAAGCCATGCCTGACAACACCTAACCACAGTGTCTACACTTCTTTGCACTCTAACTGCAATTGCCCGAAAAGAAAGTCCAGCTTCTCGAAGTCCCACTATACGGCCCCTATCAAACTCACTAAGTTGACGAAATCGTCTCCGTACTCTAGGCATCGTAACCGATCGTAAAGGATGTCAAGAACCAAAATCCGCCAACGTTGATTCTTTACTGCGGCTGAAATATTCATTTTTAGAGCGTTAGTGAATTAAAAAAAAGCAGTATAAAAGCCGGAATGTCCAACTGATAAGACTGAAATTTTTTTCACTTGTTATTTACAGTAAGATAAATACATTCACCAACTTTTATTAAAATAAAACCATTTAAACTGGGTGTTCGGATTTATATGTCACTTAGTATATATATAAGTGCATCGTCCGCAAATATTTGAATTTTGCAGTGTTCTAAAATATCACAGATATTATTTTACTCCCTTGTGGCACCCCTACTGATATATTTTGAATACTTGACATACTATTTACAACTCTAGTTTTTTTAACTTCTATTTACTAAATAATTTTGTAAAAGGTGTAATACTGATCCTTTAAAGCCATAGTTACGG